TAGGGCACGAGCCGACCCGTATGGGGCTATAGGGCACAAGCCAACCCCTATGGGGCTATAGGGCACGAGCCGACCCGTATGGGGCTATAGGGCACGAGCCGGCCCCTATGGGGTTATAGTGCATGAGCCGGCCCGTATGGGGCTATAGGGCACGAGCTGACCCGTATGGGGCTATAGGGCACGAGCTGGCCTGTATGGGGTTATAGGGCACGTGCCGACCCGTATGGGGCTATAGGGCACGAGCCGGCCCGTATGGGGCTATAGGGCACGAGCTGGCCTGTATGGAGCTATAGGGCACATGCTGGCCCGTATGGGGCTATAGGGCACGAGCTGGCCTGTATGGAGCTATAGGGCACATGCTGGCCCGTATGGGGCTATGAGGCATGTGCCAACCTGGTATGGAGCTATAGGGCACGTGCTGGCCTGTATGGGGCCGTGGGGTGCATACCAGTCTCTTATGGGGCTATAGGGCACGTGCCAGCTTCGCATGGGGCTGTAGGGCACGTGCCAACCTCATATGGGGCTGTAGGACATATGCTAGCTTTGTATGGGGCCTCATATGGGGCTATGAGGCATGTGCCAGCCTGYATGGGTCTATGGGACACGTGCCAGCCTCATATGAGACCGTGGGGCACGTTCCAGCTTCGTAACAGGCTGCAGGGCAGTGTCGGGTTCGTATGGGCTCACAGGGCACATGCCAGCCTTGAGCCCCCTCCGTGGTACCTGCCAGCCCCATAGCAGCCTGTAGGGGACACGCCAGCCCCACAGCAGCCCGCACGTGTCCCTCGAGCCCTGGCACGGTGCCTGGTGACATGGGACAGGGTCTCCCCTTGCCAGACGTGGCCCTTGTGGCCGGCCTCGCTTGTCCCCGCTGTCACCCGTGTCACCTGCCCAGGTGCCCCGCTCAGTCCTTGGCACGGCCTCCCTTCCTTAATCACCCCCAGTAATTGTCCCCTTGGGCTAATTTCCTGCCGGGAGCTGTTTGTAAAGCTGGGAGCAGCCGCGCCCAGGAGAGGTGCGTGCGGTGGCAGAGGAAATGATTCCTCCCCAGGAATCCGGGTCCCGTGCTCGGAGATTCCTCGGGGATGAGAGGGAAGCGATAAGATCTGGGGGCATTGGGAAAGGCTTCCCGTCGCCCCATCCGCTGGCAGCTGAGGAGCGAGACCGGCAGCCTCTTCCCTGCAGGGGCGCTCCCGGATGCTCCATCCCAGCTAGGGATGTGCGGGGGCAACACGGGGCGTGGGGCAGGTTCCCGAAGCTCCATCCCCGGGGCAGATTCCCAAGGCTCCGGGCAGAGGACAGATTCCCGAAGCTCCATCCAGGAGCAGATCCCGAAGCTGCGGCTGTCCCTGGCCTCCCGCCGCCTGCGCGTGCGGCGACGTCCCCCGGAGCTGGGCGCCTCTCCCTGACGGCGGTTCCTTTCTCCAGGGCTGGGTGGCCGGCGAGCTCCCGGGGTGCCACGACGCGGCCCGGGCTCCTTTCCAGGGCCGCCGGCTCCGCTGCTGCTCCGGCTGCCCGGGGCCACCGCAATTAACCTCGTCCGGGCGTCCTGAGAGGCTCCGCGCCAGCGCCCGCGGCCTCGTGCAGGAAGCAGGAATAGCTGCGGGAAGCGCCACCTCCCTCCGGCTCCTCCAATGCCGGCGCGGGGATGGACTCCACCTTGTCCCCGTGAGGAGCCTCTGCATGTTCCCGGCAGCCGCCAGGGGCTTCTCCCGCCGCCTTCTCCGCGAGCTGCTCCGCACCYGGACGCTGCCGGCGGCGCCTCGGGAGGCCGCCCGCCCGCCCGCAGCCTGCCCCCATCCACGGAGGAGCCCGCGCGGCTTTTCCAGCTTCCTTGAGCTCCTGGGCGCCCTGTGCGGGCTCCCCGCTCCGCCGAGCGCCTCTCCCGCGCCCTCCCGCGCCGCCGCACGCCCCGCAGGAGGACGTGGACCTTGGCATGGGCTCCGCGAGCGGCCGCAGCGCCGGTGCCCGCCGCAGGCTCGCGCTGCGCCGCCGCGGCGCCGCCTGAGCGCCCTGCCGTCCGGCTCCGGCCGCAGCGCCCCGGCCCCGCGCGCGCCCCTCGCCATGCTCCTCCTGCTGCCCTTCGACAGCCTCGTCGTCAACCTGCTGGGCATTTCCCTCACGGTCCTCTTCACCCTGCTCCTCGTCTTCATCATCGTGCCGGCCGTTTTCGGCGTCTCCTTCGGCATCCGCAAGGTTTACATGAAGACGCTGCTGAAGGTTTTCCAGGTGAGGCGCCTTGGGCGGCTCCGTGAYGAGGAGGAGGAGGAGGAGGGCGGCTTCGTGGGGCACCTGGGTGGCTGGGGTCCCTCTGCGGGCGCCCCAGACCTTTGTCCCGGCCTCTTGCGCCCTGGTTGTTGCGTGGGCAAATCCGCGAGGATTTCCAGGAGCTCCGTTGCGGGAAGGCAGGRCCTTGGCTGGATTAACGCCCGCGCGCAGCGGAGCGTCGCCGTCGGACACGGAGGAAGGCCGGGGCTGCAGGGCGCCGATGGACGGCGCTCCGTTATCTCGGCATGCCGAGCCCTTCCCTGCYGCCGAGCCCTCTGCCCAGCCCAGCAGCCCTTCCCGGGCCCGCAGCCCCCTCGCCCCGTCCCGGGGAGAGCGAGCGGGATTCTCCGAGCCGGGATCRGAGAATAGGCTCCGAGCCAGGGGCCCGAGAAACGGGGCTCTCGGTCGCCCAAGACAGCCCAAGGGAATGGGCAGGAGCTACCCCATGCTTTGTAGGGAAGCGCCGCCTTCCTGCGTGTAAAATCTACGTTCCTGAAGGATTTGTGGTGCGGATCCTGTTGGAACAGGCCTGGTCTTCCCCAGGAGAGCTCCCAGCGTTGGGGTCGTTCTGGTTCCTCCCAAAAACGTGAGGTGTCAATGGCAGGACGCAGGGCACACGAGGCACTTGATGAGCCCGGATTAGTGGCTGGCCTGGAGGCAAAGCTTTAATTGTTCAGCTTAATCAGAGCTGCCTTTGGGGCAAGAGCCGCAGTGGGGAAGGAAGGATCCTCCTCGTGACACCCCGTTTTAGTCTGAGCCCGCAACCAGCCTGGGATAGGAGCAGGGAAGGGAGGAGAGCTGGAAAAGCCGTGGATCCCGCGAGGTGCCCGCCTGGGCGGACTGTAGCCAACGCCTGCTGGGAAACCCCTGCCCGCCCAGCCCTGCTCCCGTGGGATTCGGTTCTCCGCCCGCCTCCTGCTGGAGGCCGGCGGCGGAGCGGAGGCTGCGGGAGGCCCCGGGGCGCCCTGCTGAGCCCCTCTTGTCCCTCGCAGTGGGCGACGCTGAGGATAGAGCGCGGCGCCAAGGAGAAGAACCACCCGCTCTACAAGCCCTATGCGAATGGTGAGATTCGGGCGCGCCAGCTCTGCTCGCGCTGGGGTCCCTGCGCCTTGGGCACGTGCCCCTTGGTCATCTGCTCCTTGGGCATCTGCTCCTTGGGCACCTGCTCCTTGGGCACCTGCTCCTTGGGCATCTTGGGCACCTGCTCTTGGGCATCTGCTCCTTGGCCACCAGCTCCTTGGGCACCTTGGGCATCTGCTCCTTGGTCACCTGCTCCTTGGGCACCTTGGCCAACAGCTCTTTGGGCGCCTGCTCCTTGGGCACCTGCTCCTTGGGCATCTTGGCCACCAGCTCCTTGGGCACCTTGGGCACCAGCTCCTTGGCCACCAGCTCCTTGGGCACCTTGGGCACCAGCTCCTTGGCCACCAGCTCCTTGGGCACCTTGGCCAACAGCTCCTTGAGCGCCTGCTCCTTGGGCATCTTGGCCACCAGCTCCTTGGGCACCTTGGGCACCTGCTCCTTGGGCGCCTGCCCCTTGGGTGCCTGCTCCCTGGGACCTATCCCTTGGGCACCTTGGGCTCCTGCTCCTTGGGCACCTTGGGTACCTGCCCCTTGGGCACCTGCGTTGTCCCCGTGGCAGGCTCCGTGAGCGGCTTGTGCATCTCAGGAAGCCCCTTTGCGTGTCCATAGACAGGGTGTCRTGTGGAGAGCTCCGTATCGTGGGGAAGGAGAAGGGAACCACCAGGGAGCTCCTCGCTGGCTTGCTGGGAGGGCTGTTTCTGTCAGTCTAGGGATGAGACATACATGGATAGACGTGGAGAAAGGGAGAGGGCCCTGTGGGGACAAGGACCCGGGCRACCTGCGGACAGGTCACCGAGGTGGGAGCTCTCCCGCAGGTATCATTGCCAAGGAGCCCACGTCGCTGGAAGAGGAGATCAAGGAGCTGCGCCGGAGCGGCAGCGGCAGAGCCCTGGACGCGCCCGAGTTCGAGCTCTCCGACATCTTCTACTTCTGCCGCAAAGGCATCGAGACCATCATGGACGATGAGGTGACCAAGAGGTTCTCGGCGGAGGAGCTCGAGTCCTGGAACCTCCTCAGCAGGACCAACTACAACTTCCAGTACATCAGCCTGCGCCTCACGGTGCTCTGGGGGCTGGGCATGCTCATCCGCTACTGCTTCCTRCTGCCCCTCAGGTGGGTGCTGGGGGAGAGCTGCACCCCAGGGTGCCCAGCGCTGCCCAGCACCGCCAGGCTGCTGGACACCGTGGCCTGGCGTGTGACTTGGCGCTCTCTGCAGGATAGCCCTGGCCTTCACTGGCATCAGCTTGTTGGTGACCGGTACCACAGTGGTGGGCTATTTGCCAAATGGAAGGTGAGTTGGTCGCTGCGGGCYGAGTTTGGGTCTCTTAGGAGTCACAAGGTGGCAGCAAAGCCCGGCCCGGGCGCGTTCGCGTGGGCGCAGGACGGGCACCGTGCGMTCTGTCCTGCAGGTGCAAGGAGTTCCTCAGCAAACACGTGCACCTCATGTGCTACCGCATCTGCGTGCGAGCCCTCACTGCCATCATCACCTACCACGACCGGTAAGGCGGGCAGCGGCGCTGCTGCTGTGCCCGGGGTGCTGGAGGAGGCACCACCCGACCCGTCCCGCCGGGTCCTGCCTCCTCCTCTGCCCTCCTTCCTCCCCGTGTTTGCCCTTCTAGGGAAAACAGGCCCCGGAACGGCGGCATCTGCGTGGCCAACCACACGTCCCCCATCGACGTGATCATCCTCGCCAGCGACGGCTACTACGCCATGGTGAGGGTGGCCCCGCGCCCCGGCCTGCCCCTCGCCTGTCCCCGGCCCTTGGCACCCGCTGTTTCTTCTCCCCCTTCTGCAGGTGGGCCAGATACACGGAGGCCTCATGGGCGTCATCCAGAGAGCCATGGTGAAGGCCTGTCCCCACGTGTGGTTTGAGCGCTCCGAGGTCAAGGATCGTCACCTCGTGGCCAAAAGGTGCGGCCGGCGCTGGCCGCGGRGACGGGCCGCGAGCCGGGCTTGCCCCCCATTCTCTTGGGGGAAGAAACCACCTCCCCTCRTGGCTGCCGGGAGCCTTGGGCAGGGTCCCCTGCGCCCACGTGGCCCCCGGTGACCGCAGGGCGCCCTGAGCACTGCTCCCCAGCGGCCCTGTCTCCTCTTCAGGCTGACAGAGCACGTCCAGGACAAGAGCAAACTGCCCATTCTCATCTTCCCCGAAGGTGAGTTCCCAGAGTCACAGAATCCCAGCATGGTTGAGGTTGGAAGGGACCTCTAGGGATCAYGTAGTCCAACCAGCAGGGACACCCAGAGCATGTGGCACAGGCTGCATCCAAGCAGGTTTTGAAGACCTCCGGAGARGGAGACTCCACAGCCTCCCTGGGCAGYCTGTGCCAGGGCTCTGGCACCCTCAYGGCCACGTTGTTCTCCCTCACATGGAGATGGAACTGTCTGTGTTTCTACTTAAACCCACTACCCCGTGTCTTATCCGTGGCCACCACCGAGAAGAGCTTGGCCCCTTCCTCCCTACATTCCCCCTTCAGATACTTGTTGAGTTGTGGAGCACCTGGAGGAGAGGGCACGTGGAGGCAGCTCCTGCTCTTCATCACTCCTCATGCAGCCAGGGCCCTTGAGACTCGTCCTGAGGAAGGGGCATAGTCTGTTTTAGGAGCTGCCCGTRTAGTTTAGACTCCTAAACCCACTTGGAGAGGGAAGCTGAGGGCACCGTGCTCACCTCCTGCAGGCACCTGCATCAACAACACCTCCGTGATGATGTTCAAGAAGGGAAGCTTCGAAATCGGAGCCACCGTTTATCCCGTAGCCATTAAGGTAGGAGAAGGCCAATATTCCTAGGGCGCCGCAGCCCCGGGCGTGCGAGCGGGATCCAGGTCCCTGCGCTTGGCCCTGGACCAACTTCCCGAGCTCTCCCGTGCCCGCAGTACGACCCGCAGTTCGGAGATGCCTTTTGGAACAGCAGCAAGTACGGCATGGTGACCTACCTGCTGCGCATGATGACCAGCTGGGCCATCGTCTGCAGCGTCTGGTACTTGCCGCCCATGACCAGGCAGGTGAGTAGGCGGGAATGTCCCCTGGGAGCTGCCGCCTCTTCCTCCCCTTGCTCCGGCTCTGCTTCCYGCGCAGCCCGAGGAGGACGCCGTGCAGTTTGCCAACCGCGTCAAGTCGGCCATCGCCAGGCAGGGAGGCCTCGTGGATCTGCTCTGGTGAGTCCCTTCTCTCCCCGCTCCGCTCTGCTCCGTGAGAGCCCGCGGCGGACCAACCTCATGGGCACGTGGGGACAGAGCTGTCCTCCAAGCTCCAAAGCAATTCTAGAGTTAGGACCAAGGTTTTGACTTCTCTTGGGTGTGATGGGCACCAGGGCGTCATTCTGTGCCCCAGCTTGCAGTGGGGTGCCCTGCCTGACCCGGTGCTGAGCTTGAAACACCCCCTTCCAGACACCGAGAACACAAGCGGCGCCTGGCAGAGGTTTCGCTCTTGTGACCACARAACTCTTTCCCTAGGGACGGAGGCCTGAAGAGGGAGAAGGTSAAAGACACGTTCAAGGAGGAACAGCAGAAACTCTACAGCAAAATGATTGTAGGCAACCACGAAGACCGGAGCCGCTCGTGAGCCTGCAGCGCCCYGGCGCCGGCGCGGAGCCCTCGCCCGGAGCGGCTCCTTGGACTCTGGCCGCTCCGGAGCCGCTCGGACTCGCTCCTTGGTCCTCCGGCTTTTGTCCCCGGAGGCCCTTTTGCTGCCCGGGGCTCCAGGGGCCCTGGGCAGCTCTTGGCAAACCAGCCTTCTTGTTACTGTTACGTGAAGCCTCTTGCGGGGGCAATATTAAATGAAACACTTATGGTGTCGTCTGCGTCCGTGCGGTGTTTGCAGGGCTCGGRTGTTGATCCCTGGCGTGTGAGAAGCCAGGGAGCTTCCCGAGCCCATGCCTCCCACACGGGCACCTTAAACCCTCAGGAACGGGACACGGCCCTTTCCACCGTCACTTCCACAAGGAAAAATCTTCCCTCTTCCTTCTGCCGTCGTCCTGTCCTCTCTTGACCTGCCCCGTTGCTTCGCCGGCAGCTCCGTAACAGCCTCTTTCCCGGAGAGCCCCAAGCAGAGAGGCATCGCTCTGCTCGGAAGCCTTCCCGTCCCCTGGAATTGCAGCCAGGGGAGGCAATTCCCACTGGCGTGCGAGAGCCCAGGACGGGTAGAAGAGGCGACCATCCGGATCCCCCACTTATCCTGGTGCTCTCGCCAGCTCCGACGTTCCCATTAGGGCTTCTGCTGCCTCGGACAAGCAGACACCGCTTCCCTGCTCGGATTAGGACCGCTCCCCTCCATAAACACCCTTAAATCCGACCGTTTCTGCACGAGATTCAAGGGAGTCTCCCTCCTGCTTGTCTTTGATTCCAATTTCCATTTAATTTCATAGCAAGAGCGAGGCCAGAGCCTTGCCCGACCCGCAGCTGAGTTGTGCCATTGCTGCGCTATCCCTAATAGAGATTTCAGTGTTATTTCATGCTCTGTTTTATTTTATTTCAGTTTTTGAGTTACAAAGTAATACTGAAATCTGTATTAGGCCTAGCAGGGTAATTGAACACCGTGTGTTACAGCACCGTTCCGGGGATTTTTCCATATCCCATCGATTCCCTTTGGCCCCGGCGTGCGCGCACGGAGCCGCGCAACCCGCCCGCTCCGCTCCCGCCGACACCCATCCCGGCGAATCCGGAGCCGCCGCCGCCGAATCGCTGCCCTCGCATCCCGCTTTCCCATCGCAGCCCTCGCTCCGCTCGCCCATCCGGAGCGGGAAAAGACCCCGGGCTTTCCAGGAGGACGCGGCATCCATCTCGCCTCCGCGCTCCCCCCTTCCCCGGCCAATACATCTCTCTCCGATGGGAAAGTTAATAAATTTCGCTCTAGATTAAAAGTATCGATCATTTCATTTGGAAGCGATAAATAACCGGGGGGGGCGCCGGCAGCGGCCGCGCGGGCRCCCGCGGGCGCCGGGGGCTCTCATATGCATTCAGCCCGGCTGCCGGCATCGATTTGCTATTAGTCTCCCCGCACCACCCAGGAGCACATCATTCCCCGGGCCGCTATTAATGGCCTTTTGATAAATAATCACTTGTAAGTCAATAAATTTTTATTAAACAGCGTGGCGCTTTGATTTATGGAAATGCGACGGGGTTTGTCCGYGGGAGAAGCGATGGGGAATTGAAGCGGGGCCGCCATCCATCTGCCCGCCGGAGCGGCCCCGCGGCCGCGGGGAGGCAGCTGCGAGCTCCGCCGTGCGTGCGGTGAGCTGTGTGTGCTCAGGGTGCACGTGCAAGGAGCGTGGTGCAAGG